TCACAAAACCGATGAGGATGTATTAAACAAACCTAAGATGCTGTTAAATCTTTAAACTGTTAGAAGGTTTTAATTGATTAATATTTATATGTAAATCCCTGAATTCCTTTCAAGTCACTGTCCTGAGAGAACTAAAGGTTTTATCAGTGTAAAGAAGAGGTGACATTTTTAGGTCAGACAATGCTAGTTAGGTGTGAGGCCTTGTTCAGAATCTGTTTGTGTTTTGGTTTGGAGTCAGACTGGTTTTGTTTCTAAAAGTAGGAATTTATAAAACACCACATTGACTGACTGTCTATAAATTGTGTGCTTTTTGAACTGTTTGCTAGTGTGAGTCAATCTCTCTCTCCCTTTGTGTTTGTCTGTTATTCTCTCTGTTATTGTCTCTCTCTCTCTGTTTCTCTGTCTGTTATTGCCTTTCTGTCTATCTGCCTCTCTCTCTTTCTCTTATTGTCTCTGCTACTGTTATTTTTTCTTTCTCTCACCTTCTGTTATTTTCTCTCTCTCTCTGTCCCCTGTGTGTCTATTTTTGTCTCTATCTCTCTGTTATTCTCCTACTCTTTGTCTGTTATTGTCTCTCTCTCTCAATCAGTCCATCTATTATCCTTACTTGCTCTCTGTTTTTGTCTCTCTATCTGTTATACTCTCTCCCTCTGTCTGTATATCTCTATCTATCCATCTCTGATTCTCTCTGTCTGTTACTGTCTCTCTCTCTCTGCCTATTATTCTCCCTCTGTCTGTTATTGTGTGCATGTGTGTGTCTCTCTCTCTTGCTCTATCTGTCCATCTGTTATTCTCTCTCTCTCTCTGGTATTGTCTCTTTCTCTCTCTCTCTCTGGTTGTCTATTATTTCTCTTTCCCTATCTGTTATAGTCAGTCTCTCTGTTGTTTTTCTCTTTGTCTGTTATTGGCTCTCTCTCTGGCTGTTTCTTATTCCCTCTCTCTGACTGTTATTGTACATCTCTCTTTCCCTCTTTCTTTTATTGACTCCCTCTCCATCTGTCATACTCTGTCTCCCTCTGTATAGATCACAAGTGTGTGTCTCTCTCCCTCTCTCTGTTATTCTTTCTCGCTCTGTGCCTGTTATTCCCCCTCTGTTATTGTCTTTCTGTCTGTCTAATATTCTCTCTTTCTCTCTGTATCTGTTATTCTTTGTCTGTGTGTTTGATATTATCTCTCTCACTTTATTATTATTTCTCACTCTCTTCCATCTGTCTGTTATTCTCTCTCCCTATCTGTCTGTTCTTGTCTCTCTTGTTTTGTGTCTGTTATTCTCTCTCTCTCTCCATCTATTATTGCATGCATGTCTCTCTCTCTCTATGTCCATCTGTTATTCTCTCTCCCTGTCTGTTATGGTCACTGCCTCTCTGTTATTCTTTTTTTGTCTATTACTGCCTCTCTGTCTGTCTCCTTCTCTCTGTTAGTCTCTGTCTATCTGTTATTCCCTCTCTCTATCTATTTTTGCCTCTCTCTCTCCCAAAACTGTTAATCTCTCTCTCTGTGTTATACTCTATCCACCTGTTATTGCCTCTCTCCCTCTCTCTGTTATTCTGTGTCTGTTATTCTCTCTTTTTCTATTGCTGTCTCATTATTCTTTCTTTCACTGACTGTTAGTCTCTGTCTCACTCTGTTTTACTGTTTCTCTCTCTGTGTTTATCTGTTATTCTCTCTGTCTGTTACTGACTCCTTGTCTGTTTGTTATACTCTCTTTCCCCCATCTGTTATCATGAGCGTCTCTGTCTGTGATTCTCCCTCCCTGCCTATTATTGTCTCTCTCTCTATCTGTTATTCTCTTTCTCTGTTACTGACTCCCTCTCTGCCTGTTTATACCCTCTTCTCTGTTGCCTGTCTCTCTCTGTCTGTAATTCTCTGTTATTGTCTCTCTCTCTCTGTTGCTGTCCCTCTGTTATTCATTCTCTCTCTATCGATCAGTCATTCTCTTTATCTTTCATTGACACCCACTCTGTCTGTTCTACTCTCTCTCCCTCTGACTTACATGCATCTTCCTCTGTCCGTCTATGATTATCCCTCCCTATCAGTTATTGTCTCTCTCCGCTTGTTATTTTCTCTCTCTACCTGTGTAATATTCTGGCTCTCTCTGTTTTTGTCTCTCTCTTTCTCTGCTATTGTCTCTTTCTTCCTGTGTTATTCTCTCTAACTCTCTCTCTCTCTCTTTGTCTGTCTGCTCTTGTGTGCGTCTCTCACTACCTCTGCTGCTCCCACTCAATTGCCATTGCTGTACTGGGCAGTGCCTTGGTATTTATTTGCCCGTCAGATGAGAGCTTTGCTGAATTACTTTGAGCTGGAGCTGTGCTGAGATGAAACCAACTAGTTCTGGTTGTCATGACGTGCTCTGTCAGCTGGCAGCTCTGTGCTGTATTTATAGAAAAGCGGCATGTTTGGCGCTTCCTGTTTGTAGCGCGGTGCAGTATCCTGTCCATTCACAGGCAAATGCTCAGCTGACTGCAAACCAATTCCAGGACTGTATGCAGCGCAGTCACTGAGGGCGACTTGTCTCTGCTCTGTTCGGCTGAAACCCTGGGTGAAAAAGGAATGTTCTGCGCTCTTCAATTGCGGGAAGGTAGATCGTATTGTCCCTGAGAGAAAACGATTACTGAACGAAGCTCTTGTGCTCTAGATGTCCCTGCCTGCTGACAGCAGGATCCTCGGGATTCTGGTAAGTGTATGATTTGACACAACACGCAGGCCTGACTTTTCACCTACTTCCTCAGGCAAATGATGACACCATGGCCTGGGAGGAGGGGCAAGGCCCCTATTTGTCGTGTTCTGGACTCTTAGTCTGAGGAAAGCAGTAAATCGATTATCACTTTTTCCCACACCCCGCCCCAGTCTCACTGCAGAGCCTGGAACCACAATAAATAGTAATGAAGCCTACTTCGACAGCTCTTGCCAGTATAACAGAGCCTATTCTGACAGCTCCTTCCAAAATGGCATTTGCTGTGAGCCCCAGAGGCAGCGCTGAGCTCAGCAGCAGTCATTTTACACAGAGTTGTGTAGATAAGAGGTGCCTGACAGGTCTACTCCTTGTTAATATCAGGGATGAGTGGACCGAAACTTGGAGGATAAGCAAATGCACAATGGTCAGTGTGAAGAGTACATATAGCTGTCACAGAGACGGAAGGCAGAATGGCCTCTTTCTGTCCTGTCGAGTCGATTAGATTAGACACAGTGTAAAACTCCCCCTGCTCTTTTTAAACAGAAAGTCAGAAACTGCACTGTCCCCACCAAACACTCCCACGACATGGACATCACGGTAGAATACAGAGGAAAGCTTCCTCTACTAAACTGAAATTAAAGACCTCTTCACACTGACCCCATCAAACACTCCCAGCACAGGGATAGCATGGGGTTATATACACAGTAAAGCTCCTTCTACACGTTCAAAGACAAAAAGTAAAGCACTGTCTACTCTTAAAATGAAAGTAAAGCTTTTTCTACGCAGTCATCATCAAACTCCATGAAAAAAAGTACAGTACAAACGTATATGCTGAATAAAGGTCTCTCTACTCTTTTTTAGCTGAATGTAAAACTTCCTCTACCCTGTTTCCATCAAACACCCCAGGACAGGGACAGCACGGGGTTAGATACAAAATAAAGCTTCCTCTACCATGTCTCCATCAAACACTCCCAAGAGGCACGGCACAGGATTAGATACAGAACAAAGCTATCATTATATCGTGACAACAAGGTGCAGAGCTGGATGAACACAGCAGGCCAAGCAGCATCATAGGAGCAGAAGCAGGAGCATAGGAGCAGTGATATAGATATCACTATATCGTTCCCATCAGATACTCTGTCCAATTTGAATGTGATGTGCTTTCTGTCAGTCTCCAAATTTCAAACCTTATTTGGAGCTGAGGTGTGAGTTTTGTGCTCGTGTCTCTGGATTATATTGAAGTGTTAGAGATTTTGTGTATGTGTTTGGGGGGTGGGGGAGGATGTTAGATCATTGCTGACGCTGTCCCTAGGAGAACAGTGAACTACGGATCTACTACCTCTATGTGATCTGCGCACTGATACGCTGCCTTATTTACAAAGCTAAGCACTCGGTTATTGAACCTGGAGCCTGTTTTGATGTGGAAATGCATTCTTCCCTGCAGTGACGGTTGTTTTTGATGCGTGTTGTGAATGAAAGCAAGTTGACATGTTGAAATCGGACAGTAGAATGTCACGTGAAAGTGCTGTAGCACCATTTAGACCAGCACTCAGGGCAATGGTGTGCTTTGATCTGAATGTTTCTGAGCTGTTGTTCTGGACACAGTATGAGTTTCATTATTTATCAGTCTGTGCACAACGCATTGTGATGAGGGAAGATCTCCAATTAATCTGAGCCTCCCAGGCAGCCAGCCTGTCGACCCTCATGACGAGTCCTGCCCTCACTGCTCCATTTGGGAATCTCTCCAAGTTGTCAATGGCTGGCTGTGAGCTGTGTTCCTCTGCATTATCCGAAACATGCCCTTCACTTCTGTCCTCTGCTTATCCTGACTCCTTTTACAGTCCGTAAGGGATTATCACTGCTAATTGACATGCTGTGTTGGGGGGGGTGGGGGGAGGTGTACTGTCCTTAAGTAGTAAACCAGGTGCACTGGCAAATACAGGTAGGGGAATGGCCAGGTGAAAAATCCAAAATAAATCGGAATATAAAACTAGTCTCTATGATCATAAAAGTGGTTCACTATTATCCGTTAGGGAAGAAAATCTGCCATCCTTACCCGGTCTGGCCCACACGTGACTCCAGACCCACAGCAATTTGGTTGACTCTTAACTGTTCTCTGAAATGGCTCATTGAGAAACCCCTCCAGTTCAAGGGCAGTTAGGGATGGGTAATAAATGCTGGCCCAGGAGTGAATGGATCCCTCCTATAACCGGTTTCCATCTCTGTGATAGGCCCCTCAAAGATACTCCCGTCTGGGATTGGTTCCTCCAAGTCCTCTCTCTCTGACTGTGATAGGTCTTATGAGGATCCCGTTATGTTTGGCCTGTCAAAGTAATCCCAGGACACCCCCACCTCACCCTCGGGCTATGATGGGACCCTCAGACATGCCTGAGCGGTCCTCACCCGGTATCTGACAGCTCCCTCTCGGCCTGGTTGAGGTTCTCTACGGAAACCGGTTTTTCGACATCTCTTCCTTCTCACCGTCACTATGTTCTGCTTTAACTCAAGGGCTGTGAATATGGCTCCCACTCAAGCAGGAAGGAAAGTGTTTGAAAATCTTTGCTGACTTATCTACATTCGCTCCTCCCTCCTCCCTCCGTGTCACTGGATCAAGAATGACCGTGAAAGTTTGTTTCCTTGCTCTTTGCCCGAATGTTATTGTACCTCTCGTGAAACGGTGACGTTTGTTGTGTGCACGCAATCTCCGAGCTCAGGCCTGGAGGCGAGACTGTTCAACTCGAATCTCTTCAGTGGAAATGGGAGCTGCTTCACTCTGATTGGTGAAGGCTAGCTTAACTTCAGGGTCAGTGAGTGCAGAGGCAGATTGTGTTCAAATAGCCAACACACACTGGACTTTGGAGGTAGTGATTGACTGAGTGTGAAGTTCATTCTCTCAATCCCCGCAGCAAGAACAGGTTAACGTCAGGAAGGATCCAGGTAGCAGCAAAGCAAGGTTAGACTTTAACTTGTTTAATACCTGCTTTTCATCTCTTCAGGGAAGGCACAGGGTGCAGTTTGCTGATCCACAGACCTGGTGGCTTTCAGTCCATCTAGGTTAACAGGAACTTGTCAACAGTTCATCATTTATTCAGCAACTTAAAGGTTCCCGGATTCTCAGGAACTGGGAGTTCACATCACAAAGGTACTTTTAAATAAGCTGCCCCCTTCTTCATATCAGAAGAAGGGTCTAGGCCTGAAACGTCAGGCTTCCTGCTCCTCTGATGCTGCTTGGTCTGCTGTGTTCATCCAGCTCTACACCTTGTTACCCCATTCGTAAGGTTCAATTTCCCTCTGCCCCTTTCTCCTTCTCAGAGGGCACTCAGATCCTCAGTAGCTGGTGTGGTATGTGTACCTTCCCTCTAAGAGAGTGGTTTTAAAAACCTGTGAGTATACAGTGCTCTGTCTCTGCCTGACAGTAGTCTGCTACCAAATGATAAAACTAACCCCAAGCTAAATCCTTCACTGAGGGCTGTTTGTTCCAATGAAACATGGAAGCTGCTTCATTGAAAGTTCATTTCAAGCAGCTCCGGCTTTGCTTCTGCAGCTGCTCCTACTACAATCTAAAAGATTGCACCCCTCCTAGAGAAAGTTGTAAAGTCCATATCTTTTTACTTCTCTGTATTTTTAATTGTGGACTGAAACAGGGAAAGAATTGTGTTTAAAAACAAGGATTGCTGGAGGAGTGCAGCAGATTTTGAAAGTGAGTAAGCTGACACTCATTGTGAATCATTGGTTGAATTGCAGCTGCAGACAAGATAGAGCTGATAGTTGTATACAGATGGAGAAAAATCAGGGTTAACATTTCAGCTCAAGTGAGCATTTCTTCAGTTCTGAAGAAGGGTCACTTGACCTGAAACATTAACTTTGATTTTTCTTTACACAGATGCTGCCAGACCTGCTGAGCTTTTCCAGCAATTTCTGTTTTTGTATTTGATTTACAGCATCCACGTTTCTTGTACAGGTGGAGCTTTGGCTATTCCAAGTAAACTGGTTTAAGAACTAGTGACCAGTTATCAATGACGAGGGCCTTTTGCCTTCCAAAAGTTAATTGATTGGTTCTTGTGTAACTGAACAGCGTGTGACTCAATAGGATATAGAGAAATTATCAGACTTCCAGCAGCTCAGGAGCTCTCTCTGTTCTCTACAGTAAAAGCCATTCTAATCCTGAAGGAAAACAGTTTATCTTTAGTTCAGCAGTTATTGCAAATTGTGACTTTTAACTGAGAAGTCAGAGACCATTCTGTAAGTGTGAACAGCTCCCCTGTGTCTCCTGTAAACCAGTGGAAATGTCCAGGGAGCGAAGACTGAGAAACATCATTCTGATCAGCACAAGAAGCTGAAGAACCATCTCAGCAACCCTGTGAACAGAGACCGCAGATCTGCCTTCACTGTTCCACGCGCCCCCCCGCATCTGTAACACCTGTGTCTCTTTTCCGTGTGTGTGTGTGTGTGTGTGTGTGTGTAAACGGGGCTTTTAAAAGGGGTTAGAGTTTTGGTTTATACAATAACTTAGTAACAACTCTAGGGGGGCTTGATTTCCAGTACGCTACCCCAGTGAGGGGTAACAGGTAAATATCACATTACACCCAGGTCCCAGTGAGGGGTAATGGTAAATATCACACTACACC